TGCTAAAATAAATAATAGAGGCATAGGTTGAATCCCTAATGTATGTAGAGCACATAGGGTTATGCATTTATAAATAGGAAAATACAAAAAAATGACCAAAGCCTGATACATCTAACAAAATCAGATAGAGAGAACATGTAGGAACAAGTGACAGTAACAACAAATAAGAGAGGAAAAAGGGATGCCGTCTGGCTTACCGCAGCATAGTTTCCAATGGTCTTCACACCTCCGGTGCCACCAGGAGTTGCACGATGTAATTCATTTTCAACAATCAAATTGATCGGGGCCAAACCTTCCTGTGGTGAAATTGATACTTTATTAATTTTTGGAGGGACACAAGTGTGCTTAATATAGCAACAATAAAAGATGCGAAAAAGAAACAAGCATGACAATGATATGTTGAAGATAATAATTATTAAGAAAAAGGTGATACTGTACTGATATAAGTTGTTCAAGTAGAAAAAAAATACTGCAAAGAAAATAGGTGGTAACCATCTGGACCCATAGAACACTTTTGCAAATTTTCTTCATCTTTTCATGCTACAATCATATCAGCAAAATCTAATAAAAAAATTTAATTTTCTATTGATGTTGCATCTCATTTCTCATAATATCCAGCTCTCAGACTATAAGTTATATTGGAATAAATCGTTCAAATTTCTCTTAGCCATGGGTATTTGGATCAAAATTTGTTATATCCCAAAGAAGATAATGAAATTGGAAAACTTATAAAAAAATAAATAAAGACGCTGTCTTTCAATGAAACAAAATAGATACCAAACCTTAAAGTAGTTCCCAACAGGTGAAACGTATATTAGAAAGGTGTACTCTGGAGAAGGTGCAAGACCAAGTACAGGTCCACTTCCCATTAGCAATGGTCTAATGTACAATGAACCTTTACCTGGAGGGGGAACCTGAAACCAAAGTTCACCTAATCAACCTGAGGTCATTACAAAATCTACAATGACTAAGGCGATGACATGACTCCATAACACCCGTACCCAACGTTTGTTTGCTAAAACAGTATCCTTCACAGCTTCCACAAACTGCTCCACAGTAGGCGACGGCATGCACATCCGCTCTGCCCCTACCTGCATCCGCAGACCATTTTCTTCCGGACGGAATAGGAGTATATTCCCATCTTGTTTCCGATACGCTTTCAAACCCTCAAACAATCCCTACATTGAAACAGGGAAACAAATTCTCCATAAAACAAGCACACCAGGTAAATTCAATACAAATGATAAAAATAACGATGCAGCTAGTTGGATTTCAATTTTAGAACATTTCAATGTAGCACCAAACACAGTTCACTTAAAATTCAAATATAAAGTAAGCATTGTTTTCAGGTCAAAAGCAATTGAACAAACTGAAGTCGGAAGTTGAATATGTAATGCCTCAAATACAATATAAGCCAACCTGGCCGTAGTTTAGAATTCCGGCGGAGGGGTTTAATTCAATGTTACCAAAACGCTGGAGTTCACCTTTGGAGAAGGTTCCACCTCGAGCGCATTTCATGATATACATATAATCCGTGGGTTGAAGGCCAAACCCAAGGTTGTCCCATTCTATATCAGCTAAGTCAAGCGTTTCACTGTTCCGTTCCAATATTATTCCGATTAAAGAACGGAAGCGTTAAAAAGAAAAAAAAATGATGAAACGGAGAAGAGAGGACCTGTAGGAATCAGAGAGAGTGGCGGAAGGGTTGAGAGGAGAAGGAGCTTCGAGAAGATTGAGCGAAGTGAGAGGAACGCGATTTTGACTAAGCTGCAGATTAAGGGAAAATGGATTAGGGAAGATAACAGAAAGCAGTAAGAGAGTGGGAGAAAGGAAAAGGGAAAAACCTTGAGAGATAAAGAGTGAGAAGAAGGGAAGAGGAAGGGCGATTGAAGAGAAGGAAAATGTCGAGAAGGGCAGATCAGGTTTGTTAGTCGAATGCGTGAGGAGACGGCGCTTCTCTCCATTTTCTTTGCTTCACTGTTCCTCTTTCTCCTTCTCCAAACAATGGAAGGGTTTGTGCAGCACGTGGGTTATATCTACGTCTTTGATTCTGAATCTCTCTTCTACTTTTTTACTTTTGTAATCAATAATAAATGCTATAATTAGTAATTTGAATGGAATCAATGGATTCAAAAGCACGCGGGCGATACTCACTGTTATGGATGGGATTGCGGTAGTTCACACTGTTCTAAGTTCACTCTTACCCCTCCAAACTCCTTTATTTTAAATTAAAAATTATTTTAAGTTTGACAATAATTGTTTGAGCGGTCCAAAGTCAAACTGCATCGGCTGCAGTTTACATTTGAGAGCAGAGGATCACTACAATTTTTATTTTATGAGTTTGGATCATCCTGTAGTAAGCTCATGCTTATCTAAACTCCACTACACTGTATGCTTTATCTAATAAATCCATTACTGTCGGCTAGTTGTCCACGAAAGCATGAATAGACTATATATATATATATATATATATATATATATATATATGAATAGGAAATTGTTGTGTTTAAATTAATTTTATTCGTTGAAAAAAAAAATCATAATTACAACCTACATATTTTTATTTTTTGTTACATAATATATCCTTAAATATTAAGTTGACATATTTTACAAGACTAATAAAATTTCTTGATTTTATTTGCTAAATGTGTTGTTTTTACTTTTTAAAAATAACTATCGTTTTATAATTTAAACTTTTTCCACTTTTTTAACATGCTGTTTTTAATCTTAACAAAAAAATATGATCAAAATGGTTATATTAGACACTTTAACTACTTGTGTAATCAACTTCATTAAAAATACAAATAGATGTATTTTTTTTCTAAAAAATTAAATATGATCATTATAAATATATCAACTTATTATCCATACATTAGTCCAAACAAATAATATAAAACATGTAACTATAAGTCTCCAAGATTATTACAAGAGAAATCGAAATAAAAATATTAATTTTAAATTAATTATTGTACTGTATGGTCAGATATCCGAGTTCTTCAAAGGTCGAGCTTATTTAGGTCAGACTTTTCAAAAATCAAGCTTATTCAGCTCGAGCACTCTAAAGGTTGAAGTCATCCAAGTCGAGTTCTTCAAGGTTGTATAAATGAGCTCCTCGTACCAATCTCTATCATATTGAGTTCATTAGGTTGATCTTCTCTAAGCCGACCTCCACCATGTTGAGCTCTTTAGAACGAGCTCTCCAGACCAATCTCCTCCAAGCCAATTTCTTTCAATCGAGCTTCAACACTAAGCCCTCCTAAAGAGCTCATTTGGTCGCCCAATTTTGATTGACTAATTATGGTGTGACCGTTCGATCACAACATAGTCAAATTAAACAGTATGATCAATCGATCACAACATGATCAGGTTAAATAGCATGGTGGATTGATCACAACATGGTCAAATTAATAATGGTAATGATGAATCAACCTCTTAATGCAAATTAAAGTATGATTGGGTCATTATTAGATCGATAAAAAGGTAAAGGCCCATCACAACTATTATATAAAGGTCTTAGGTGTGACTTTAACATAACATGCACATAGTATGTATCAATTGTTAATCGAACAATCATCTACTAACTTTAACATCAAAGTATTATTTGTTGTTCGACAAGTGTACCGTATCGCTCAAGTTATGTTAAAAAATAAAAATAAGTATATAAATATAAAAAAGTTACAAAAATATATAATTTTGGTTTTGTTTTTGTTTTTTATGGGCTATAAATTGGTTGAACTTGTTGGTATTGTTGATATTGGTACTCTTGAACTTGTTTGTTATTCACACACTGTATACATTCAAACATAGGATAAAACTGAAAGTATATTCAAAAGAACTCCAAATAATCTGAAATTTGTTCAAAGCATCAAAAAAATCATGAGAAGCCCCCACAAAAAAATTTAGATAAAAATTCAAAGTCTAAGTATGTGAAAATTTATTACAAAGTTTAAAACACAAACTAAATAGACGAAAATAGAAAACAATATTTATTAAAAAAATCTAGAAGGAACAATTGGATACGGGGGTTGAGTTTTCATATTGCGGGTCGAGTTGTCGATAGGTACTATCCGTGTCCAACCCGACTCGTTGTCATCCCTAGTTCCAAGAAGTGCTAAAAAAAAGTTCAACAACAACAAAAATAACAAGTAAATAATCAGTATACACTAGTCACAGTAACATTATTCATTACTACTAACATTATTCATTGCTACTATTCATGTAACACTACTACTAACATACATAGTAAGAATTGACAAAATGACAACTCTTTCTTAATATACAAATATCTACTAACCACATTTCCATTTTCAATTGTGTTACTTTTATAATTTCTTTTTGGGTTAAATATGTTTTTAGTCCCTAAACTATTGACCGTTTTTGGTTTTTGTCCCTCTTCCAAAGTAAGGTACAATTTGGTCCTCAATCTTTAAAAAACGTTCGTTTTAGTCGAAAAAACGAACGTTTTGAGGACTAAAACGAGGACTAAAACGAGGACTAAAACGAGGACTAAAAACAAAATTTTGAGGACTAAAACGAACGTTTTTCTAAAGAATGAGGACCAAATTGTACCTTACTTTGGAAGAGGGACGAAAACCAGAAACGGCCAATAGTTTAGGGACTAAAAACATATTTAACCCTNGCACCATCATGCATGGCAACGCCAACAAGGACTGGGACAATGCGTGCAGGCGCGTCAGAGCTCCAATTGCCGCCATTTTTGCAGTGTGGTGGTCACCTGGCCGGAAACAACCATGGTGTCACTGTCTAAACGGTGGCGATGGTGGGAGGATTAGACTAGTTGGCAGTACATTGGTGGCGAAAAACAATGGCTGGAAAAGAAAAATCCTAAGAACAAAGTCGGAAATTAAAAGAAGAGGAACAATTTCAGAAAAACAAAATTAGCACCTGTGAAAAGTGAGAAGGGCAGGCAAGGATTAAACTTAGATCTAGATACCATGCTAAAATAAATAATAGAGGCATAGGTTGAATCCCTAATGTATGTAGAGCACATAGGGTTATGCATTTATAAATAGGAAAATACAAAAAAATGACCAAAGCCTGATACATCTAACAAAATCAGATAGAGAGAACATGTAGGAACAAGTGACAGTAACAACAAATAAGAGAGGAAAAAGGGATGCCGTCTGGCTTACCGCAGCATAGTTTCCAATGGTCTTCACACCTCCGGTGCCACCAGGAGTTGCACGATGTAATTCATTTTCAACAATCAAATTGATCGGGGCCAAACCTTCCTGTGGTGAAATTGATACTTTATTAATTTTTGGAGGGACACAAGTGTGCTTAATATAGCAACAATAAAAGATGCGAAAAAGAAACAAGCATGACAATGATATGTTGAAGATAATAATTATTAAGAAAAAGGTGATACTGTACTGATATAAGTTGTTCAAGTAGAAAACAAATACTGCAAAGAAAATAGGTGGTAACCATCTGGACCCATAGAACACTTTTGCAAATTTTCTTCATCTTTTCATGCTACAATCATATCAGCAAAATCTAATAAAAAAATTTAATTTTCTATTGATGTTGCATCTCATTTCTCATAATATCCAGCTCTCAGACTATAAGTTATATTGGAATAAATCGTTCAAATTTCTCTTAGCCATGGGTATTTGGATCAAAATTTGTTATATCCCAAAGAAGATAATGAAATTGGAAAACTTATAAAAAAATAAATAAAGACGCTGTCTTTCAATGAAACAAAATAGATACCAAACCTTAAAGTAGTTCCCAACAGGTGAAACGTATATTAGAAAGGTGTACTCTGGAGAAGGTGCAAGACCAAGTACAGGTCCACTTCCCATTAGCAATGGTCTAATGTACAATGAACCTTTACCTGGAGGGGGAACCTGAAACCAAAGTTCACCTAATCAACCTGAGGTCATTACAAAATCTACAATGACTAAGGCGATGACATGACTCCATAACACCCGTACCCAACGTTTGTTTGCTAAAACAGTATCCTTCACAGCTTCCACAAACTGCTCCACAGTAGGCGACGGCATGCACATCCGCTCTGCCCCTACCTGCATCCGCAGACCATTTTCTTCCGGACGGAATAGGAGTATATTCCCATCTTGTTTCCGATACGCTTTCAAACCCTCAAACAATCCCTACATTGAAACAGGGAAACAAATTCTCCATAAAACAAGCACACCAGGTAAATTCAATACAAATGATAAAAATAACGATGCAGCTAGTTGGATTTCAATTTTAGAACATTTCAATGTAGCACCAAACACAGTTCACTTAAAATTCAAATATAAAGTAAGCATTGTTTTCAGGTCAAAAGCAATTGAACAAACTGAAGTCGGAAGTTGAATATGTAATGCCTCAAATACAATATAAGCCAACCTGGCCGTAGTTTAGAATTCCGGCGGAGGGGTTTAATTCAATGTTACCAAAACGCTGGAGTTCACCTTTGGAGAAGGTTCCACCTCGAGCGCATTTCATGATATACATATAATCCGTGGGTTGAAGGCCAAACCCAAGGTTGTCCCATTCTATATCAGCTAAGTCAAGCGTTTCACTGTTCCGTTCCAATATTATTCCGATTAAAGAACGGAAGCGTTAAAAAGAAAAAAAAATGATGAAACGGAGAAGAGAGGACCTGTAGGAATCAGAGAGAGTGGCGGAAGGGTTGAGAGGAGAAGGAGCTTCGAGAAGATTGAGCGAAGTGAGAGGAACGCGATTTTGACTAAGCTGCAGATTAAGGGAAAATGGATTAGGGAAGATAACAGAAAGCAGTAAGAGAGTGGGAGAAAGGAAAAGGGAAAAACCTTGAGAGATAAAGAGTGAGAAGAAGGGAAGAGGAAGGGCGATTGAAGAGAAGGAAAATGTCGAGAAGGGCAGATCAGGTTTGTTAGTCGAATGCGTGAGGAGACGGCGCTTCTCTCCATTTTCTTTGCTTCACTGTTCCTCTTTCTCCTTCTCCAAACAATGGAAGGGTTTGTGCAGCACGTGGGTTATATCTACGTCTTTGATTCTGAATCTCTCTTCTACTTTTTTACTTTTGTAATCAATAATAAATGCTATAATTAGTAATTTGAATGGAATCAATGGATTCAAAAGCACGCGGGCGATACTCACTGTTATGGATGGGATTGCGGTAGTTCACACTGTTCTAAGTTCACTCTTACCCCTCCAAACTCCTTTATTTTAAATTAAAAATTATTTTAAGTTTGACAATAATTGTTTGAGCGGTCCAAAGTCAAACTGCATCGGCTGCAGTTTACATTTGAGAGCAGAGGATCACTACAATTTTTATTTTATGAGTTTGGATCATCCTGTAGTAAGCTCATGCTTATCTAAACTCCACTACACTGTATGCTTTATCTAATAAATCCATTACTGTCGGCTAGTTGTCCACGAAAGCATGAATAGACTATATATATATATATATATATATATATATATATATATGAATAGGAAATTGTTGTGTTTAAATTAATTTTATTCGTTGAAAAAAAAAATCATAATTACAACCTACATATTTTTATTTTTTGTTACATAATATATCCTTAAATATTAAGTTGACATATTTTACAAGACTAATAAAATTTCTTGATTTTATTTGCTAAATGTGTTGTTTTTACTTTTTAAAAATAACTATCGTTTTATAATTTAAACTTTTTCCACTTTTTTAACATGCTGTTTTTAATCTTAACAAAAAAATATGATCAAAATGGTTATATTAGGCACTTTAACTACTTGTGTAATCAACTTCATTAAAAATACAAATAGATGTATTTTTTTTCTAAAAAATTAAATATGATCATTATAGATATATCAACTTATTATCCATACATTAGTCCAAACAAATAATATAAAACATGTAACTATAAGTCTCCAAGATTATTACGAGAGAAATTGAAATAATTTATTTTTAATTTGAATTGATTTTAAATTAATTATTGTACTATATGATCAGATATCCGAGTTCTTCAAAGGTTGAGCTTATTTAGGTCAGACTTTCCAAAAATCAAACTTATCCAGTTCGAGCACTCTAAAAGTTGAACTCATCCAAATCAAGTTCTTCAAGGTTGTATAAATGAGCTCCTCATACCAATCTTTATCATATTGAGTTCATTATGTTGATCTTCTCTAAGCCGAGACCAATCTCCTTCTAGCCAATTTCTTTCAATCGAGCTTCAACATTAAGCCATCCTAAAGAGCTCCTTTGGTCGCCCAATTTTGATTGACCAATTATGGTGTGACCGTTCGATCACAACATAGTCAAATTAAACAGTATGGTCAATCGATCACAACATGATCAGGTTAAATAGCATGGTGGATTAATCACAACATGGTCAGATTAATAATGGTAATGATGAATCAACTTCTTAATGCAAATTAAAGTATGATTGGATCATTATTAGATCGACAAAAAGGTAAAAGCCCATCACAACTACTATATAAAGGTCTTAGGTGTGACTTTAACATAACATGCACATAGTATGTATCAATTGTTAATCGAACAATCATCTACTAACTTTAGCATCAAAGTATTATTTGTTGTTCGGCAAGTGTACCGTATCGCTCAAGTTATGTTAAAAAATAAAAATAAGTATATAAATATAAAATAGTTACAAAAATATATAATTTTTGTTTTGTTTTTGTTTTTTATGGGCTATAAATCGGTTGAACTTGTTGGTATTGTTGATATTGGCACTCTTGAACTTGTTTGTTATTCACACACTGTATACATTCAAACATAGGATAAAACTGAAAATATATTCAAAAGAACTCCAAATAATCCGAAATTTGTTCAAAGCATCAAAAAATCATGAGAAGCCCCCACAAAAAAATTTAGATAAAAATTCAAAGTCTAAGTATGTGAAAATTTATTGCAAAGTTTAAAACACAAACTAAATTGACGAAAATAGAAAACAATATTTATTAAAAAAATCTAAAAGGAACAATCGGATATGGGGGTTGGGTTTTCATATTGCGGGTCGAGTTGTCTATCCGTGTCCAACCTGACTCGTTGTCATCCCTAATTTCAAGAAGTGCTAAAAAAAAGTTCAACAAAAACAAAAATCACAAGTAAATAATCAGTATACACTAGTCATAGTAACATTATTCATTACTACTATTCATGTAACACCACTATTAACATACATAGTAAGAATTGACAAAATGACAACTCTTTCTTAATATACAAATATCTACTAACCACATTTCCATGGTTTTTATATTTTTCAGGTTTTTACTTATGATTGTTTATAGTTTTGATTAGTTCATACAAATTTGAAAATGAGTTCTGAAGAAATGAAATGCCAAAACTAAGCTACATTTGCTGGTTTTCTACTTTTCATGTTTAGTAAAAACTGTAAAAATATATTGTTTATTAAAAAAACACAAGAAGGACAACGTCAGAAAATGTATTTTGGGATGTCATTAAACTCATTTGAAATCGAAAATTAGTCATTTCCCATGTCAATTAACATTCAAAATGCTCAATTCCAATGTCAAATGAGTAAAATAATATTCGAAAATGCACTTTTAAAGATCAAATGACCCCTAAAAACTTTGGCATTCACTAATAATGACGTCTGGAAATGCTTCTTTTTCGACATCAATCAACGTCTTTTTTTGCTTTTGATGTTAGTCAAGTCTCTCACTATGACGTTGATATTTTCGCCGACATCAAAAGTCGAGATTAATAGACATTAAAACTCATTTTTGTACTAGTGGACCATGTTGAATGGAGTGGGTTAACACGTTTTGTCACTCCTCTTTGTTATATTCATGTATTTCCAATAGGGTAATGTCATTTTTCATCTACTTGTCTTAACAAGAAATATGAATACTTATTTTCTAGACTCAAACTCCATTCCATACATATAATTAAATATTAAATTCTTTACTAGATGAATTTAATGGCATAACTTCTTTAAATGAAATTGGTGTATAGTTGACATGACTTCTTCAAAGTACTTTCCTATAGCTTTTAAGTCTATAGGAATAGAGGGTTTGAAATTAAAGATAGTATCTAGGCTAACAAAAGAAGTAAAACACTACGAGAAGGAAAAATTACAATATATTTTATGATGAGCTTGTCTTTCCTTCCATCTCTATTTTCAAAATAAAAAGTTATATGTATTAAAAAGAAGAAAAAAAGAGACAATTCAATTACAATATATGTCATTCATGATACACATGTCTATAATTTGAAATTAAATAAAAAAAAAGGTAATAGTGAGTCTCTTCCATAAGACTTTTGATGCAATGGACATGAATTAAATTACTGTGAAGGATTAATACTTCTTTAATATAAAACTTTAAGGTAATATGTTTATAATTTTTCTTATATGTTGTTCAATTTTATTATTTCAACTTAAAATGAGAATTAGAAATACATTTAGATTCCCAACTATATATATCTCAATGTATATAATTAATTCATTAAAACATTGTGTTGGAATCATGTCAAAGACAAAAAATATTTTTCAAATTAGACACTTTATCCAATACATATGTCATACGAGTATCGTAAACATGTCAATGTTCGATATGTGTTAAACACCAAACACGCCATTTATGAGGTGTGTATAAGTTTCGTAAGCAACACATAACACGCTCTTTATATATATATACGAGAAAAAAAGAAACTAAAAGAGAATAAGAATCCAAATTTAAATGTCAATTGGGAAAGAGGGTAGACTTAAGTGAAAGCAGGTAAAATAATACGTATCAAAGAATGTTTCCAGAAGCACGGGTGGGCAGAAGCAAAGCAACTGTAACTCACTATCTAACGATGCTTTGAAATCCACTGTTTCCTTCGCATATTTATCTCTGTAATTTGAAAATTTGATTGATCAATTTTGTTTCATTTGTCTACTCCAATTATAGGATTCTACAAAATGATCACATTCTTAATTTCATATTCAAAATCACTTACTGCACTCCAAATGGAGATGGCGCTTCGGGTATTCCTTTTGTTCTCCAAAAGAAATTATCTCTTTTAGTTCCAAGATCTTTCATTACCTAAAGATTTCATCAATTTATAATATATTACTGAGTCCAAATATTACTTTACCAGATCAATTTTGTGACTTGAATAAGTTTAAATTACACTATGGACTAGAGTGATATGATAGTAATTATTTCAGTCCTCAACTCTTTTTGACTAATTCCTTCATCTTTAGCATGCATGAATAAATCAATGCACAGAATCCTTCAAAGAGGATATTTCTAAGCAGCAAAAAGCAAGCTGATTCCGTAACATTTGAATATTAAACATGTAAACTGTAGTCATAGAAACACATATTCTGATTTGAAAGATATGATTTTCCGCCTGAGTTCATCTTCACGTGCTTCAAAATCCCGAAGCTTCCTGTCTGCAACATCGTTATATCCACAAGCCTCTGCCTCGGTACATTTTTCTGTGCTTCAGAAAGTTTACTCTTAGAGGAAACCTTTATAACAGAAGATTCAATTAATGCAGATATGTTCATACCTAAGCACAGATGAATGAATCGCGAAGCCTTAATTTGCTCGTACTTTCCTTATGGTGCAGTTGATCGTATATCTTTGTAACATACTGGTCAGTAGAAAGTGAAAGGCTGATACAGCGATTGTATATATCGCATTAAATGATTTAGATGAAAGTAACCACCGACCTATTCTCAAAATCACTTGAAAATGTAGTTCCATTGATGGAAACAAGGTTCATTTGAATTATAACAGATTATATTACAGCACTCACTCGCAAATTAAGCATCAACCCAATTTTCGGAGCTTTTTCTGCAAATGATTGATGCCAAGTTGTCAATAATCTGAGAAATAATTATTATGCCACAACTGTTCTATAGACAACAAATTTCTTCATATAGAATCTAGTATATATGCTAAGGGGCAATGATCTAAATACAAAACCAAAGAAGAACACAGTTTGCTAAAATGACGAATTGAAATTGAACCCGAATTTTAATAAATGATCATATCCTTAATTAGATATATGATAGTATACTTAAGTTATTTTTCTGCAGTACTTTTCCCAC